TTGAAACATAAACTTGGAAATATATTTTATTACATTTTTGGTATGTTTCAACCGTATTTAAATGGAAAAATATTCTTAGTATCCTCACACTATAAGAATCGATACTATAAGAGTTCCTTATAAACCCTCTTGGTTTGTATAAAATACCAGGCGATTGGTCGGTAGAATAAAAAATGTGACTATACAAAAGTGCTTGTATTAAGTTTCTTTGTATTTTGAATAAAAATTATTTCTATTTCTATTTCTAAAATACAAATGAATTTAGTAGATGTTATATTTTACTAAAAAACGATTATAAAATGTAAGCTTTTAAACTACACTTTAGAAAAAAATCATATCATTTTAATTGTCTTTTATTATATACAAATACTTCGCCTGGGTGTACATGTATTATAGATATAAACCTTAAACTACACTTTAGAAGAAAATCATATCTTTTTAATTATCTTTTACTTTAATCACTCGCGCTATATATTAAAACCTTGCTTCAAAATCCGTTGCGTAGTTTTAAAGATTTAAGCATACATAGGGACGGATAGACAGCGACAGTGACTTTGTTTTATACTATGATAAGCAATAATTTCCGAATTAGAAATGATACTATGATATGAATTCTGTTAACATATTCAGACATATTGTTATCCTAAACACAAAAAAGTATTTATAAAACAAAAAAATAAGTATTTATATCAGTTGTCTAGTACCCACAACACAAGCTCTGCTTACAGTGAGACTAGATGGCGCTGTGTAAATTGTCCAGGGTTATTTATTTATTAGTATAAAATAAGTTCGAAACTTAAGGTTAGTCATTGGTTGGTGGAGCGGCCGCGTTCTATCAGCAGACTGACATCATGATAGGTTAAAAAAAGACATGTTATCAATATAACGGTTAAGTCGAGTTTATAAATAAATTACTTTAACGATTATTGCTCTGGCTAAATGTTATTTGCGTCCACTCACTCCATGGGAATAAACCTTTGTAATTTTTTTTATACTACTATGGTGGCAAACAGGCATACGGCCCATCTGATGGTAAATGATTACCGTAGCCTATGGACGCCCGAAACACCAGGGGTGTCACGTGCGCGTTGCGGACCATTAAGAAACCTTAATATACCCTTCTTGAAAAATCCCATGCTGTAGTGTCGTGAGAAAACCTCGGCAGGTAGTTCATTCCACAATCTAAGTGTACGCGGGAGGATGCTCCTCTGAAACACTAATATGGTTGAGTGCAATAATAGCTGGCTCATCCGTCATACTCGTGAACGGGCACTGCTTGTGGGGACTGGTCTGTTACGACTGGTGGTGGTCACTCTATTCTCCCAAATTTGAATTTAAATGAATCTGTATTATTGTAAACATGTACAACATTTATTTGAAAAGAACACGAGCTGAGTTTCTTATCAGTTCCTCTCATCTCGAAATTTGACATATCATAAGAGTCCGTAATAGACCTACATGAATAAAGATATTTTGGTTTGAAATGTGATTATACTGTCTAATAATTAATGATTAATAAAATAATACAAAATTGAACCGGTAGCATTTTTTATAGATTTAATATATCAAATCAGAGTCGTTCTTGTAATGATGATACAAATTTCTGAAAGAGCGGTAGATTAAAAACATGATAATAATACAAACATTTTTATTGTAATAGATACATATACCTCATAGCTCTAATTTCTCATCTAAATCTTTCACTATTTCTGTCATTAACCTTTGGAATGCACTTCCTGTTGACCTCAGAAGATGTCAAACCAAATTCACCTTGAAGAGATCCTTCCGTGAACATTATTCCAAATTTCTTCAATAGTATTCAGCCAAACTTCTATCGAGATATAACTCCATGTGATTATGTGAATATTTATTATATGTAGCTTAATTTTATATTTTATTTATATGTATTTCATTTACTTATTGATTTGCATATGTATATATATATTATTGTTCTGTATCTATTTGTCATAATTTTTGTTTATTTTTCTTTTAATTAATTATTAAAGTGCACCGCCTCATTATCTCTGATCACCGCGACTGTTGACTGGTAGAGAATGCCATCAGGCATCAAGTCTGCCATGTATACAATTTTATATGCAAAAGAATAAATAAATAAATAAATACCTACACAGTAAGTTATATATGTTTCTATTGCCGAAGAAAAGTATAAAATATGTAAATAGTAGAGTAAGTATATCTAAATATATATAACTCAAAGGTGACTGACATAGTGATCTATCAACGCACAGCCCAAAACCATCGGGCTGAAATTGCAGCATGCAGGTAGATGTTATGACGTAGGCATCCGCTAAGAAAGGATTTTGATTAATTCTACCCCCAAAGGGATAAAATAGGGAATGAAAGTTTGTATGAAATGTCAATTTTAGAGCGATCGGGCTGAGACTTTGCATGCACAAAGCTACTATGACGTAGGCATCCCCTAAGAAAGGATTTTGATAAATTCCACTATTATTAATTATACTATTATACTACATGAATAGAGTTATTTTGATTTTTTTTTAATTTTGAATCAAAAAGGACCAGGAAAAATTGGCGATATGCGATAAATTGTCGTGGATTGCACACCTACCGTTGCACGAAGTGTTTATCTCTGATTGTTTCACAAAAAAACACACACAGCGGCAATTTATCATCGCGTGATTGTACACTATTAGGTTTTTTTATATCATTAAATTGAGCTATTATTAATATTTTTCGTGTAATTTGCAATGTAACACTTATTGCAAAAGTATTAAATCTATACACATATAAATAAAATTGGAGTGTCTGTTTGTAATATTGAAATAACCATTTTTTACTACATGCATATGCATATAAATACGATACATACAACATAATGTCATTTTTTACAATTTTTGTCTGTCTGTCTGTCTGTTTGTTCCGGCTAATCTCTGAAATGGCTGGACCGATTTTGACGGGATTTTCTTAAGCAGGTAGCTGATGTAATAAGGAGTGACTTAGGTTACTTTTATTTTAGAAATATAAAGTTAAATTCCACGCGGACGAAGTCTCGGGTACAACTAGTTTAATAGGACATTGGTCACGACCGTGAACGAAGGACTGTTTTTGTATTAGGATGGTAAATATAATTATGAGAAGACGATTTTTTCATGAAGGAATAGTAAATTTACGATTAAAAAGTAAATCAGATAACAGAAGAATAATAATAATATCAATAGAACATTTTTTTTATGTCAAATATAAATCATTACATATGTAGTATAAAAATAAGTCGCTGTCGCTGTCTGTCCGCATGGATGCTTAAATCTTTAAAACTACGCAACAGATTTTGAAGCGGTTTTTTTTAATAGGTAGGGTGATTAAAGAGGAAGGTTTATATATACATGTACACCCGGGCGAAGCCGGGGCGAGTAGCTAGTAGTAATATATAAAAAGTTGTGCACACGAATTAAATCCTAGCCTTTTATTGAATAAAAAAAAAGTGTACATTCTATCGAGCATATTTGAATACAAGATGCATACGAAGAGAAAATAACATTTTCTTATTAAAATCGAGATTTTATTTAATTGTCTTTAAATATTGACAAGTACATATATTAAAATTTCATTGCATTTTTATATTATAGGTAATTAATATATGACGTAATCCTATTACCACTATAACTAATCCAAAGAACCCCAAAAAAATGCGTACACTTAGAAAATTAATATTTAAAACATATGTAAATATATTCATATGTATTAAACATATGTTTATTTATTTATTTATACACATGTTAAATATATGTTGAGCTTAAGAGGCGGTTCAAATATTAACTCCAGTAAAATAATTAACAGATTTGAGAAAAAAGGTTTTTAATTGCACTAATTGTTCTACATGCAAGGTAACGGTATCTTTATGAACAGAATATTTTTATTAAATTTTTTTCTAACAATGACAAAATTTCACGCCAATTTTTTTGAGAAGAAATACCTTCTTGTAATTAGTGGTACATTTTTAAAAAATTCTTTATTAATTATAAATTAAAAGATTCTGCCACTGTTAAAGCCGATTCTTTTTGAGAATCAATACAATTTTGAAAAAATTGTCGATTTTTTTCAAATTTCTTTAGTAAGTATAAAAAAAAATCAGCCACTGTTAACGTCGAAGTTTTTGAGAAGCAATACCTTTTTGTAAAAAAGTGGTATGTTTAGATTTCTTTTTAATTTCTTTAGTAAGTATAAACTCGAGAAATTATTGGTTTGTTTTAAAAAAAAATACCTACAGTAAGTCGCATTGTCAGCGAGTAACATAGGTCATAATCATTTCTACAACTCTGTGACACCCCATCTCGGGAACTACAATCGTCCGGATGAAAATTTATAAGATTACAACATGGCATCACTTCATTTAATTTATCATGTAGTACTAGATAACAGAGGAAAAAAGCATAAATATATCTACGCCATAAAATATAAAGTGTATAATAAAATTCTTCTGAGACGCTTTGAAAAAGAAATTGTATGTAAAAAAAAATTGTACTAAATCGACTTGATGTTGGTATGTACCATGGTATAGTATCTGATCCTGTATCATCGCCAGCAAAATTTTTATTTTCATTGTACAGTAGAAGATAATATTAGTAATAAGATACGATGGGACTGACATTCTCATATTATGTAAGAATTTAAAAAAATCTAATCTTGTAATGAAAAGACGGCCTCGGTGGTCTAGTGGTTTAGCACACCTTACGTCCGATGGTCGCGGGTTCGATTTTCTTTGATTATGAGTTGTTAGACTATTTTCTAGGTATGTATTTACAAAATATCTATCTATGTACGTATATAAATATCTATGTACTTGTATCAGTTATCTAGTACTCATAACACAAGCTTTAGCTAGCTGAACTTGGGTCTAGATGGCGCTGCGTGATTTATCCTGAGAAAAAAAAATACAGAGTTTCCTCCTAAAAAAGGAGACTTGTGTCCACCAGTGGGACAATAACTGCTTCTCATTGTTATGACAACGAACACTTTACCTACAAAGATACCATTTTAAAAAAGTGACTTTACAAAAATTATAATCACTCCGAATATTGATCAACCATTTCTTCATAAACTATGTGTAAACATTGATAAAAATTATAAATCCTTTCGTAATATTTATGTAATCGATAGGGTTTTACTTCACAATCACAGTCACTGATAGCGTCCCGATAAGGTTTGAGAGGCTGCGTGAGGCGCGCGCGCACTGTTCACCGCCACGCGAGTTTTGTCGCAGCGAAGCGCGGAGCGGCCGGCGACGACACTAGTTCAGTCCACACTAGTTCGCGTTTGCCGATTTCCGAAGGCTACACTAATGCCCTAAGTTGTTAACATGATATTTTGTTAAAAACTAATACTCTATCAATAAAACTAGTGTCGTATCCAACATCACCATTGCAATTACGGAAAGAATCATCAAATTCTTCTCAGTTTATTTTGTTAAACGGGTTTTAACAAGAATGCGGTAAATAAGGTATTTTACCTCTCGACGTTTCGACTAGGTTGCAAATTTCAAATTCAAATTCAAAACAACTTTATTCATATAGGTCTATTACAGACTTTTATGATATGTCAAATCTACCGTCAGTTCGGAATGATTTCGAGATGAGAAGAACTGACAAGAAACTCAGCTCGTATTCTTTTCAAATAAATGATGTACATGTTTACAGTAATACAGATTCATTTTTAAATTCAAATTTGGGAGAATAGAGTGACCAGCATATGCTATTGCAAACAGCAAATAATTCGTAACAAGAACAGACCAGTCCCCACAAGCAACACACTATCCGGGACAACGAGTTGACTCGTGGATGTTTCAGTTTTGGTACAAAATCTCACGGAAGTACATGCAAAATATACCACTGAACTAAAGTGCTAAAAAAACCTTTTACTAAAACAATTAAAAAGTTATTTTTATTTACAGGTAATAATAATATGTTGTTGGTTTTTTTTCTGATGATAATGTAATGGTGCACCCGACTGCGCTAACGGTTTACGCTGGCGGGGCACCAGTGGAGGATGATAAGATGATCATGAGGTCAGGTCAGTTAGCACATCGTGACAAATTCACCAAGAATTTATCACGATGGTTTCCAGGGGGAACCGCGTGGAGGTCATCTTGACATGGTACATTGCTAGCAATGAGATCATCAATCCACATTACTAACAATCCCCTTTTCCCCCAAATGTTGTCGGTGATGTGAATGAGGTGATGATAGACTGACAATATATACATATAAATATTGATCTTATATACTAAATGACAATAGGAAAAGGTAAGGTGGGGTGACACAATTACTGCCTCAGCTCCAATTTAATAAAAGTGGTAGGTGTCACAGTATATGATATTACCAGGTAACAAATATAATATATTCTCGTTCCGATCAGTTGCACGTTACATATCAACTGTTACTTAGCAATATGATTACTTATTTTAAATGTAATGGATTAGAGTTTTTCTTCTAAAATCAATGTGTCTAATACGGTCACTTAATCCATTACATTTGAGACACTCTACATCTCTACATTTAAATAATATACAGAAGAGTAAACAATAGAACAATAATAGCAAAAAACATATCCAAAATTAAATCTCTTAAAATACTAATCACTAATTATAGTTGGACCTATACCTGGGCCCACAACCTGATGGAGATATTGAGTGGATTATATCAGCAAATGTAATTTATTCTCGATCTGATTCAGTTGCACGTTACATATCAACGATTAGACTTTTTCTTCTTAAATCAATGTACCTAATATAAAGTCACCTGTTTGGCCATGTATCTCACCTATTTCTGTAACCAAGAGCTTGCTTTGTAAACTGATACGAAGGAATTCAGATATTACTTTAAAATTATAGACTTCAGAATCATAGCAATGAAATGTTTAGAAATGGTAACGCATAATGAAAAGGTACTTATTATGCGTATATTAATTTTATATTCCACGATTTTGATATAACCACAGATAATATAATATTACATTAATAACATCAACATATGTATGTGAGATGCTCACTAAGTGAAAGTAAGTTTTATTACTAAGTATAAAACAACTCGAACTAGAGGTTGCTCACTGGTCAAATTCGACCATAATAAACTTAAATATATTGAAACTAGCTTTTGCCTGCGGCTTCACTCGCATAGTAGTAAGTATTATTATTAAGTAGGTTTAGTTTGTCGGCTTTACTTTTGTTTAGCGTGTGTAAAAAATTAGCGCCTACAAAATCTAAGAAGATTTATACAAACTTTCATCCCCTATTTTATCCCCTTAGGGATGGAATGTATAAAAATCCTTTCTTAGGAGATGCCTACGTCATAGTAGCTTTATGCATGCAAAGTCTCAGCCCGATGGGTTTAAAATTGACAAATTTTCATACAAACTTTCATCCCCTATTTTATCCCCTTAGGGGTAGAATTAATCAAAATCCTTTCTTAGCGGATACCTACGTCATAACATCTACCTGCATGCCAAATTTCAGCCTGATCCGTCCAGTGGTTTGTGCTGTGCGTTGATAGATGACAATGTCAGTCAGTCACCTTTGAGTTATATATATTTAGATTAGTGAATTTATTATGGTTTTGACATACAGTAAGACTTTACACAGACTTTAACAATAAACAAATGAAAAAATATATATAATGTGTTTTTTATGTGTCTTAGTCTTTAGTAATATTATAAACGAAAAGTTTGTGAGTATACATGGATTTTGAGTTTGTTACTCTTTCATGCAAAAACTACTGAATGGATTTTGATGAAACTTAACAGTAATATAGCTTATACATCAGAATAACATATAGAGTATAAATTACACGCGGGTTAAACCGCGGGCACAGCTAGTAGTTTATAAAAATATTAACACTGCCTCTCTATATAAACTATAAGTGTACGAAATATTATACTCCGCCGGTCGCGCTAAGTTCTTAAAAAGGGATACACAGTTTTTGCTTCAAGTATCAATATATATTAGCGAATCAAGGTCATATTTACTTTAAACTCAATTTGCCAAAAAAAAAAAAATCAATTGTGTTATAAAATATTTTCTTTGCAAAAAAGCTTATTATAAAATTGAAGAATTTATAAATGATAATAATGTTTTCGAAGAAAATATTAAAATTGATAACACTCACAATGTTATCTGATTGAACAGAGATTAAGTGCGTAGCGGTCTCTATGTTGATTGTCGCATGCCCAATCATTGTTAATGTAAATCTAATTAAATCAAAATTTATTTAAAAGAGCAACCCACAAGTTTCTTGCTTTATTCTTCTTGTGATGAGTCTGCATTCCGAATGAGCGGTAGAATCAAAAAACTTGACTATTCAAAAGTGCTTATATTAAGTTTATTTGAATAAAGATTATTCTATTTCTATAAACATAGTGTTAATGTAAACTTAGCACATAGTATGTATAATTTTATGACGACTTAAGGCTATATACATACTGACGGCCACACCTATTATTATATTAGTTGATTCAAATGTTGATTAGATTAACAACTTCATCCTCGAAGTCGTTTATAACAGAAAAAATGAAAAGTTGTAATTATGTAAAGCACTCAACTTTTTAAGTGGCCACATCACTATTACAAAATGTATGTGTAAATCACGACTCTATGGCCATTGTAATAAGGTCAGCGGTGGCGGTGTGTGCTGTGCTTGGCAATAACACTTGTGCCAGTTCAATAGCTTGACCAGTGTCTATGGATTTAGTCATCGCTTCCGAGGTTTGAGAATATTTACAATTATATATACTTTCGCTGTTCACTCGGGATTGAAAGTTTTGTACTCTATACTATATTTGATTGATTTGATTGATTGTTAATAATATAGACTGACGATCTTATTGCTAGCAATGTACTATGTCGGGTTGACCTCCACGCGGTTCCCCCTGGAAACTGGCCCGCCAGCGTAAACCGTTAGTGCAGGGTGGGTACATCATTCCATTATCATCCATTAAAAAAAACTATATGGAGGAGGGATTTAAAGCCATACCATACCATACACTATACCATTTGGAGGAGGAAGGGGGAGGGACAAACGGATGACGATGGAATGGTGCCACGGCCTGCGCTAACGGTATACGCTGGTGGGGCACCAGTGGGGGATGATAAGATGAGAATGAAGTCAGGTGTATAATTCTATATAAAAAGTAAATGTAACTGGCAGCCTACAAACATATGCGTCGCCATGTCCGCAAAACATAATAAAAAAGAAATTGAAAAAAGAATAGAATTCAAATGAACAGAGAGTATCGCAACGTTGCAGGTAATAATTATAACAATCTCAGGACAATTCACACAGCGCCATCTAGACTCAAGTTAAGCTAGCTAAATCTTGTGTTATGGGTTAATAGTACCCCTATTATAGATAACTGATACAAATACATAGATATTTTTTTACATTAATACTTACATATTATACAAAGAAAACAGACTGACAAACAATCTTACTCATAAATGTTTTTGCCGTGCAAGGAATCGAACCCGCGACGTAAACAAGTAAGGCGGTGTTAAAAAAATCGCTAAACCACCGAGTCCGTCAAAGGTAAGTTAATCCATCGTGACTAATTGACCAGAAATTCATCACGACGGTTTCCAGGAGGAAACGCGTGGAGGTAAACCTTAGAACCTAATCACTATGACTGATTTCCTCTTATCAATTGTTTAACCAGTTGGTTATATATTCAATATTTTTTCTATTTGAGTATTTAATTGAATTAGTGCTAATTGGTGGTTTGTATTCACACACTTAAACTTAGAAATGTAAAGTAATAATAAAATCAGTTAAAAGAGCAACACGCAAGTTTCTTGCTCGTTCTTCTTGTGATGAGACAGCCTTCCGAATGAGCAGTAGATTAAAAAAATGTAATGACTATTCAAAAGTGCTTCAATGTAAGTTTATTTGAATAAATGATTTTCTATTCTATTCTATAGGATAGATTAGAAACAATTTCCTTCCTTCTACATTCATGTAGGTGACGTTTACCACGATGATGGAGACAAATTGGTAGCATCTCTTGGATTGAAGGAGGAAGATTTAAGGGAAAGAGTTTGGGCAGAATTGGGGCATTTTGTTAATAAAATTAAAAGGTCACAGATTATATTAATGTTCTTATAAAAAAAACATCTATTCAAAAGAGCAACACACGAGTTTCTTGCTCATTCTTCTTGTGATGAATCTGCATTCCGAATGAGTGCTAGAAATATATGTAACTATTCAAAAGTGCTTGTAATGAGTTTATTTGAATAAAGATTATTTCTAT